GCAACACACATTGGTTCAATCTTGTTTTCAAATTTGACCTGAGGAGAAGATGAGTCGTAATCTACCCAGCCGAGTTGAATCCGTCGATTGACCTCTCGGTCAAAGTTGGCCTTGGCTATTCGGACTATTTGTCGCAGGTAAACATATTCGTCAACAACTTTGAGCTTAGTGCAGCCAACAACTAACGGCATAGGTGTAACATGGACGTTACACATGACTTTTGTTTTGTCCATATTTTTCTTAAGACAGCATATACAGCTATTCTGTCATAAGCACTATATCGTCGGCAAATCGAAGATAAGTGATGTACTCACCATTGATGTTAATACTGTATTTTTTCGAGTCCAGTAGCTTGAAAACGTATTCCAAGGCAGCGGTGAAGAGTTGTGGGGCTATAATGTCACCATCCTACACTTATCTGCAATTGGATAGGTTTCGTACTCTAGTACTGTACTCGGATAACCATCGTAGCCTTCATGTACAAACACTTCAGCACTTCGATATACCGACAGTTGACTTGTCACCGCTAGAGGAACTGCAACACCACCCAAAATTAGACGGAATCAAGGGTTTCCTCAGTTCACATATGCAAGACAAAGCGGCAGATTGTACTCTTTGGTCTTCTATACAATTTACCAAGGGGTATGTGTATGGTCTATGTCGTCAAAGCCTTTTCGAACACCAGCTCTTTCGGGAAGCTGGAATTCGTCGAGTCTGCGTGCGAGACGATTCATAATGACTCTCGAAAACAGCACGTAGAGGCGGCTTAGAAGGGAAATCGGTTTGTAGTTCTTCAAGAGAGCCTTGTCGCCTTTCTTTAATAACAAGACCACCGTAATACTGCTCCACGCCTCCCAAGTAGTGCCACTATGGAGGACAGAATTAAAGAGCCTCTGAAATACTGGTTTTCCACCCGCTTTCAGAAGCTCCGATGAAATTCCATCCACGCCCGGGATAGTTTTCTTGTCGTTTTAAGGTGCAGGAGAGCCATACTTATCTCTCGCAGATTGACGTACAGGATATCATGCTGGATATCATTGGAATAGTGTCGGAAAAGACTTGCTCTTGGATTGTGACTCACACTTGCGTGTGGCTTCTAACGAAGTCGTGTACAGCTGCCCATAGACCCTCTCAATCTCACTTAATATCTCAGGTTTCCCGGAAACAATGCTACCACATTCGGTCTTCAGCTTCGACAGTTAGCTCTTTCTGGCAGACAGATCTCTGGCAAAGTCTTTGGGGCCCTGGTTCCGCTCGATCGCTTCTTCAATACGAACTGTATTGAAGTTGCGTAAGTCGTGATAGTGCTATGCTGCAGCTATATTAGTAATATAGTTGTAGCACGAATAGGTCGGCTCGACCGGGGAAGGACCACGCTCTCACAGAATACCAGCGTAAAATAGCAGCTTAACGCTGCTGTGCTTCGTATGGTGAGTGTAGAGAACCGGAGACCCTTTTTACTGGACAAGAGGCATTCCATCTTAGTACGATAAATGATAAATGGTAACGATGATAAATGTAGAAGTCTATGGGTCACAGTAACCACTTACCATCAGGTGGACTGTGTGCTCATTTGTCACCCGATCCTATAAAAAAAAAGTGCCGCCGAATTTATTTGTAGATCTGTCCTTTCAGTTGCCTGTATGCTGTCAAATCTGCTGAAGACTGTAGCTTTATTTTGCCAAAATCCGACAAAGAGAAATTAATCAGAATGTGCGCAGCAGCATGTTCCCAGTGACAACTCAAAATATTAAAATTCTGCGGTTTACAACCCGCGCATGCAACTGTGGCAAATAAACCCTCTATGAGGCAACCTATAGGAAAGGCATATGTTCAGCAGTGGACTTTTGATAGGCTTTAATGAATTGATAAAAGAAATTTTTAACTTATTTATTTGTTATGTTTAAGTTTTGGCGTCATTAATTATTTAAAAATGATTTTCTTATTCAATTCTCATTGTGTTTCTTTGCCATTAAATATACTGACCCTCTATACTCTTTAGACCGGAACATAGCTCTGCAAGGACTGCTAGCAAAGTAAAAGCGTGTTACCTCCCCATACAGACGCCTAGTCTGCCTAGGATTCATAGCACCTTTATAACACACTTTTATTGCACACTATTACGTGGTAGAGCCATGCTGTAGCTATATTACTGATATGGACCGGGGTAGGACCACGCTCTTACAGAAAACCAGCGTAAAATAGCAGCTTAACACTGCTGTGTTTCGTATGGTGAGTGTAGAGAACCGGAGACCGTTTTTACTGGAAATAAGACAATCCATCTTAGTCCTCACGGGTGACAACCCATCTGAATTTTGATTCGTAATCGAGCATAGATGTAGATGTCTATGGGCCGCAGCAACCACTTACCATCAGGTGGACTGTGTGCTCGTTTGTCACCCTTGTCCTATAAAAAAATCTTGTTTTTTTTATTACTTATACCTAGTATTAAATTTCATATTGTAAATACTTTCCTAATTTTTTTTATACTCGTAGTACAGCACACTATGTTTTCTTCTTACTTTTCTACCGACTTCAAAAAGGAGGAGGTGCTCAATTCGACTGTATGTTTTTATGTGTGTCACCTCATAACTTTTGGTGGCTGGGTGAACCGATTTCAATCATTGTTTTTTTTTTTTTAAAGCTGGTGTTTCTCATGTAGTCTCATATGTAAGACATTCAGGAAGTCGATGGATGCAGTTGGCTCAGTACCGTACTTTGTGGTATTCCTATGTTCAGCAGTGGACTTGTGAAAGGCTGTAATGATGATGACGATGATATAAAAGTGCAACAATGTCTTAGAATAGTGCATACTCACATATAATATAACTTCCTTATATTATGTAAATATCAATAACTTTTTTTTAACTGATAGTAAACGAACCCACAGTCCATCTGACGGTAAGTGACTACTGCAATCCATTGACAACTGCAGTTAACTTCAAACAAAGAAGGCTACTATTAATGAAAACCATCCTTCACACCGGAACACAGCATTGCAATTACCACTATTTAGCATAGAAATAGGTAACAAGTTAGTACATACCCAGATAAACTGCTAGATATATAGTGAAATATAAATTTGAACAAGTTCTGACCAATAGTTTTTAAGTTATTCTTAATAATTTATATTGAAGTCGGTTGTACAAAATTTTTAAATCCCTCTGGGTATGTTAGCAACTTACCTTGTAGCCTTGTACCCTCTTACATATTTCTGTCACTAAGCAGGAGTACCCGTACGGTTGTCTTTTGCGTGCTTAGGTGTGTGATTATTGCTAGACATATCATTATTTTGGCATCCAACTCTTAGCAAAAGTTGTTCAAACTCAAAAAAGTTTTTCAGACTCGGCACTGGCATACAGCAAATACTCAAGGTTTTCTAATATTATTTATTAAAACGTTATTTATAAAAACCTGACTTGATAACAATAAATAGTTAAAGCTAATATAACAAAGTACTTAAACAAATTCGCATACAAAAAACCACATAAGAATTAATTAATATTATTCGCGCTGCAATATTCAACAATCCATTCGCACAAATATATATTTTCGGCAGGTGCTCTAAACTCAAACAAAAGAACAAAGTAATGCATCCGCTTTTATAAATACTACTGTATAAATCTTTTTTAACTTGTACAAACACTTAAAATACAAAATCTTCCTTCTGTCCTTCTTCCTCCAAAGAATAAGTTTACAAAAAGAAAAGTAACGCGTAATTCTATTTTATATAACAGTTGTATTTACAACAAGTTAACAACAATAATTCAAACTTTCTTCGAATTCAGGTTCTTTCAAAAGAAATTTCATACTTAGATACATAGATGGAGCGCTGCGTGCACTTTAAGTGACGCCCAAACCGTGCTCAACTTTTTGGCACGCACTCACTCACTTAACATCTGTCTTATTTCTTTCATACAGTACAGCGCGCAAAAATTATCTCCTGGTCGCATACATATGCACTCTAAACTATATGTTTGGTTGCAAATGGTCTTAGATGCGTATGTGGTAGGTACGTGAGTGTGATTTTTTTTATAGATTAAGGGTGACAAACGAGCACACAGACATCTTATATTTCTCCTCGATTAAGAATCAAAATGCAGGTGCGTTGTCACCCCCGAGGACTAAAATGGAATGCCTTGTTACCAGTAAAAAGCGTCTCCGTTTCTCTACACTCACCATACGAAACACAGCAGCATTAAGCTACTATTTTACGTTGGTATTCTGTGAGAGCGTGGTCCTACACCGGTCGAGCTGACCCATTCATGCTACAACCACAACATAATTGCAGCGTGGCTCTACCACGTAAAAAATTCTTCGTGTTCTTACTTCTAATAACAAGTTGAGCACGGTTGTAGTTTGGTTTATGCGTCATTTGAAATGTACGCAGCGCTCCATTTTTCTTTCTGTATTGGTCATTACGTAATGACAATTATTTGAAATTGTTGTCGCGTATTTAGATTTTATTTTTTGTAACATTTTCAACTTATTTTTGGACCCCTTACTTAAATGCTTTACTAATTTAGATATTAAAGCGATCAGTATTTGTAAACGCTTTAGATACAAGTGTACATAGTGACTGTTTGTACAATATTAGCGAGAAATCTCTAAACTGAAAGCTAATTATTTATTTGCTAACTCTCCTTATTTTGACTAGTCAAACTATTTGATCATTGCTTCAGTAACTGTAGGTATAATATCTATATATAATTTACCGCGGACTGAGCGTTCTGTAAGCTGTTTGATATATGTTAACGAAAATTTTGAAAAAAGACGGAGAATATTTGCAGCCTACCTTTTAATTAAATACTAGAACTGATTGACCCACGTAGCTGACTAACTTAATATTGTCTATATTGGTGGTAAGCCTAGAGGTAATAAAAAAATATGGGTATTCTCGCACAGCCTCTTCACCGGATGCTCAGTCCGTGAGTATAACATTATACACAGATAAAATCATCGTAAAAAGCCACCTACGCTTTGAAGATTTCTTAAAAAAATTAATGCGGTAATTTTACAAAGTACGGGCCTGATTTATGCTTGACCCAACCAGGTGGTGGTTTAGGCACCGGCACCCATTCTTTAACTTCTACTGGACCCCACATACGTTTCCACACAGCTACGTAAACCTTCTTTTCCTGCCAAGTTTTCACCCATCGGGGACGCCAAACGAACTTTTTCATCCAGAAGCCTTGGTAGGTTGGATCTTCGATGTGGTGATGAGAGGAACGATCACTGTTGATATAAAGATAAATATCAAATAAGTGATGAATATTTGTAATCGAGTAGAGGATGCTGTTTTCTCTCTGCAGATGTCGTGATTGCCGACTATGACAAATGTCAGAAAGATCTTTATGCTATCGATAAATGGCGGTACAGACTTCTACCATAGGTGTAAGATACCAAGACTGGCAACGGAGCGCTCAGATGACATAAATCATCAATCAATGAAAGTACAATGCTGGCGATGTGCCGCCCATTGTAGGGAGTAGAATTTTATTGATATAACGAGCACACAGTGCACCTGATGGTATGTGGATGCAGTGGTCTATAGACATCTACACCTATACTCGATTACGAATCAAACGCAGATGCGTTGTCACACCTGAGCACTAAGAAGAAATGCCTCGTTTCCAGTAAAAAAGGGTCTCCGACGGTCTGCTGTGTTTCGTATGGTAAGTGATCCGTATGGTCACTTACCATACGAAACACAGCAGTATTGAGCTGCTATTTTACGCTGATATTCAGTGAGAGTGTGGTCCTTCCCCGGTCGAACCGACCCACTCGTGCTACAACCATAATATAGCTGCAGCATGGCATTACCACGTAAAGGAAACTTTACTTTAATCGTCAGGCTTTAGGCAGGCGGATTAATAGATTCAGTGCCAGACGTTTTGTACTTTTGACGCCAATGTCCGTTGCCAAACTCGTTATTTAACGTCTGGCGTAAAAGAGATGGTTATATCGCAATATATCGGAAAACATAAGATCTTTTTGGCGTTCCCATCACCCTTTAAGACACTCACGGAGTTAAATGAGGCGATGAAGTTCTTTCCCCACCACTTAGCAGTCTAGGAAATATTTCTAAATGAAAAACACAATATAATATTACATTGTCATTTTGTGTTTCAAAAATACAAGTGATACAAGTCACAGAACAAAATACGATTACTTACATAGTCGGATTAGAATTATTGACTCGCTGTTCTGGCTTCGACTCCTGCTCCTCGCTCAAAGCCAGGCTTGACAGATAGAGTAATCCAAGAATAATCTGCAAAAATATAAATAATCTGTGATATTATAACAAATTTAAACGTTTTACTGAGAAAGTTCAATTACATTCATCTCAGTATTAGTCAGAATTTTTTAATATGACTGCTTCGATGGTCTCGTGGTCGTGGTCGAGTACTGGTCATGTGGTCTCAGGTTCCAATCACGGGTGGGGCCAGAATCAGTTAATGATTTTTTCCGTTAAGAAATTCTCAGTAGCAGTCGGAAAAAGTTTGGGGTGTTTCAACCCCTTAAAAAAAACACATAAAGCTGTTAATACTGCGTCTGAAATTACGCAATAATTTGTCTTTCCACTTTAATGTAGGTATTTTTACTTGTGTAATTAACGAATCATGAAAATATAGGTACAAGTATTAAACAAAATATAATAAGTGTCGGAAAGTGTTAAACAATAAAAGTAAGTTTTGTACAACGCTCGATACATGAAAGTTTTCAGACTGGGCTGTAAGTGCCCTGGCACAAGGCGAATTACAGGACAGCTGTGGCTTCGTCGTTAGGAATTCAATGTCACTTATATTACACAAATACAATGAGAAAATCACCTTATTTTTCGTTATTAAAATACACTGGTGAAATTAAATTTATACCACAAATGTTTACCAAAGTATTTTTTCTGAAATTTATAACGTTATATTTATCCCTAAAAGTCAAAAACGAAAAATTTAATCACCGTTTTTAGACAGAATTTAGACACAACAACAATAACGGACGTGAGAAATCTATATATTATATTAAAAAGACATAGTTACACTATTGTATGCAAAACAATAAAGAAGTAACATGAAACAACAAATAACTTTGATTTCATAAAGTACTAACCAAAAATCTTACACGCATTTTAAATAATTATATCACCACAATTTTTAAATCAACTCTTTTTTTAATTCTTACACTAGTTAACAATTGTAAGGTGTATTGTAACTGATGATAGATTTGACCAATAAAGGCCTTTTATAAGTGCTTCCCATTTTGTGCCCTGTCAGGGCTTCTCAACCTTACTTCCTCTCCCGTTCAATTTAGTTAATGACTATAATAACGCAACTAAAAGTTGGTGAAAATTACTAAAGAAACTGATGATTAAGTTAACCTTTATTTCATCATATTCATCAGATCTTCGTTTATTATTTTCTTCGAAATACAATAATAAGTTCATTGCAAAAGAAATAATTTACATAAAAGTAATTAAATATTTTTGATTCTCTTAAAACTTTACTGATGCCGATTTATTGTTTGATTATATATATATAATATTTGATGCGCTAAAAAATTTCAAAGTTTAGGATTATTCTTACTAATAGAAAAATGAAAAAAAATATATGTAAAGGTTGGTGAAATCTGAAAGGAGAGAAAAACTCAAGATTATTGACATTAGAAGTGGCATGCGGAAAATATATACGAGAAATTCAATTTCATACGCAATTGTTCATTGTATAGCTCAGCTCGTATACAGATAATAAATATACAGTGCGAAAGTGTTTATAATCAACAATTCATAAATATTAATTATTTGAAAAGTTGGAAATGAGTACTAAAAGGAAAGTTAAACTGAAAATAAATCTATCTTAAACCGTTTCTGTGATTCTGCGTTCTTCTTCACCAAACCGTTAAAGTGCAATGCTGGATAAGGGCCCTTCCAGCGAGCTTGTCCAGCGATTTGACGATTGAAACATCAGACGTCTCGCATCTTTGACGCTGCTGTCTTAATTTAAGTAATTCTGATTCTCAGTTATTAATTTCAAGACGATATTTTGAGCGCAATATCCTAACTAATATATAATAATATAATATATATATATGTACACCCACAAAAAAGTTATGATTTAATACACATAATAAAAGAACATACAGTCGAATTGAGTACCTCCTCCTTTTTGATGTCGGTAGAAAATATAGCTTTAAATTAAATTCTAATATCAAAAACAATAATATCAATCAAATGCATTAAAAACAAAAATATTTACTTAAATATCAAATATCTATGTATTTTATAACAATATAGTTGCAGTATAAAAATACAAAACCAATAAGTATATTTGCGACCCGTAATGTAATCTCCAATGTTATACAGCATTAGGATGCTCAACGCATTCAAACACACGGCACCGTCCATATCAAAAAGGCCGCAGTTTCGAGGACTAAACAATGCATAACAATATTATGTCACTGGAGCGGTACATCACGTACTACTTTATGTAATAAAGAAAGCGACCTATCTCACGTACAATTACGTATTGTGAACTACTACAGTGATGCCGAATTTGGCTGAGCCCACCCAAGCCTATCTTCCAAACAAGGAGATAGGTTTTCGATATTGTACTGTGTTGCGCATCGCGCAAGCTTGTCAAACTCTTTTATAAAAAAAATCTATACGTATAAATAAAATGGCAGTGTCCATCTGGAAAATCAAAATAACTGTCCTTAGTGAGCTGAGGGGTTATTCGCACGACATTAAGACATTAATAACAATTTTTAAAATGTTGAATCGATTGTAATGAAACTACGAATACATAGAAAGCAATGCCAGAAGTGATCTAGCCTATATTTTATTCGAAAACTTGTACATTTCTTTTCAGAAATCGAAAATGTTATGATCTTTGATATCGTTACAGCCTATTAAAAGTTACTGCTGAACATAAGATTCCCCTTAGATTGCCTCATAGGGGGATATTTGCCATAGTTGCCACCGCAATTTTTGGAACGAAGTTCCTTATCGGATGGTACGGGTTTGGCGGATGGGAGCTAGGCGACAAAAAGTGTAAAATTTTTTCATCACTACCCCTTATGTCATAGTATAGACGGCTTTGGCGGCAAAATATGGATGTGAGATGGAATATCCGTCCCCCTCGCACTTTCTCTTATCTTGCCACTTCTAATGACGCTTCATATGTTAATCAATAATATAATACCTACGTTTATCAATAATAATATACTACGCAAGGAACTTCGTTCCAACCGAGTGTTCCACGACACTCACGCATTTTTTGTATTTTAGTCGTTATTAGGAAGACGCTGCTGCCCATCTCCTAATCTGTTACTGTCTCTTGCCTCTTATGACACCCACGGGAGGATATGGTAGTGGATATTATTAAACGGCAACTATACGGTATGGTGTTAGATGATTATCTTTAAATAGCACCCAGATAAAGCCGGTGCAGGCTTGCTAGGCAACAATAAACACAATACGCACGTTAAAACGATTGAAGGATTTGTACTTTGCGTTTGAGAATATCTGCTCTCTTTTATTCTCTCTAATTCCATAAACGTACAGTATATTTAGATTTCAAAACAAGGTCTCAAGAAGCATCGAGATATAAATATATAAAAGATACTGAAAATATTACTAAATGACCGTAATAATATTTTTTTCCCTAAAATAACATACCATTCACACCAGGATTTTTATACGTGGTAGAGCCATGCTGCAGCTATATTAATAGTATAGTTGTAGCACTAATGGGTCGGTTCGACCGGGGAAGGACCACGCTACCACAAAATACCAGCGTAAAATAGCTGTGTTTCGTACGGTGGGTGTAGAGAACCGGAGACCCTTTTTACTGGAAACGAAGCATTTCATCTTAGTCCTCACGGGTGACAACGCATATGCATTTTGATTCACAAACGTGGATAGATGTAGATGTCTATGGACCACAGCAACCACTTACCATCAAGTAGACAGTGTGCTCGTTTGACACTCCTATAATATAAAAAAGGGAATTTCTCCTGTATAGCAGGAGAGTTTGATATAAATAAATTGCACAAAGACAAACATACAGACACGGACAGTTATTGATAGACGATACAAATAGCTGTTCAGAGCCCGATTAATACCCATAGCTCACAGAGCTACAACTCAACGCGTAGCTGCACTACCGAGCCAGCCATACCGAGACATAATTACTAAGTCACAATTGACAAGGAGCTTCGCAAATTGAACTAGTGTTGGTATAATCTGATATTCTATACATCCTTTAGTAAATTGACTTGGACTTCCCTTAATGTCTGTTGTAGGGGACCATAATATCATGATGGTTACTTTATACCACCATCACTTCAAATTTATATCCTCCAGTTCTGTCGAATGAAATACAATTCTTCAATGTCATTTATCCTATTCTACCTATATTTCTTATTACGGATAATATAATCGATAAAATCGGGTACATGGTTAGACCGATAGGGAGAACACACAAGAAATATTAGTTCCAAACCAATTGCTTACTTTTTGCACAATAATGGCCATCTAGAACACAAAAAACTTAGGATCAATAGTACCCATGTCTATTGTATCGAGGCATATTTTTTCATCAATAGCACTTCGGCCCGTTCTTGACCAGAACTGCCTCCGTTATCTTGCTTTCCCTTAAATTGAAAGGAACCTTAGTGCCCGAAACGTCCGGGAATAAAAAAGAAACATGTGTGCAGTTCACACGTAATAGAAGGAAAACCTGCGAGTAAAATTGCTTCGTAATAGTGCTATCTACTTCGTTCTAGTATAGACATTTTATCGAACTAAAATTGATTGACTCTCAAGGTTGTACTTAAAATAGACTCTAGGTGGCCTAAACACGACTAATTTAATATAAATCGGTAAGTTATGAGATGTATGGATGGTATGGATTTTTATGAATGGATTGGATACGATAATTTTATACAATGTGATTAATTTTATTTATTTACAAAAAGTTATGCTAACCACTTTTAAAGCACCGCACAATGAGGAGTTCGAGATAATAGGAAACGCTGTAGGTATATTGTATTCCATATCATTCTCTCGCAGGCTAAATAATATACATAGATGTATATCGTACCCTTATTGCAAAAACCTATTATCTGCATTTTTGTACCAAAATTAAGTTACATATTATAATCAATCGACTCTTCCAGTCACGACAAAGCTACAGGTAAAACCCATTATCTTCTACGACGCTTTTTATGGAGAATAGCGATAGCTAGAATTAAAAGCAAATACTTTCAAGTATG